CTGCATATACACGCGCTCCTTAATTCTAAATCCTTAATCCTAAATCTTAATACAAGTGCATTAATAAATAATGAAAACTAGGATTTTCTTACTAAAGGTACTTTACTGACATCTATTAGAAATAATAATAATTAATACTTTCAACTGCAGTATCTGTAAGCGATACATTATTTACTACGATGAGTACAATCGCAAAAATTCCTTTGAAGTGTAAGTCACGTGTAATGTAAAAATTTCAATTTTTTAGATATGTGTAAATAATATATATGAACATAAAGAAATATAAAGAAATTTAGTTTACATAAACTTAAAAGGTACATACAAATGTACAAAGTTACATTAATGTCAAATCAATGAAATTTAATTAATATTAACCGTTGTTAAATTAAGTTTATAAAGACAAATTGATTTATCAATATTTTATTTTATTACGTTTTTTTTTTTTAAATTTTATTCTATAAATGCATTTTCCGCCTAATCAATTATTGATATATTTATAGAACATATTATATTTAAAACAATTTTAATGCATAATTTCTTTGTAGGTAATATATAAATAGATAAGTTTTTTTAAAAAGTATATTTCTTCTAATCGTGTAGAAAATTTAATTAGAATTCTTTTTATAATTACTTTATAGACTTATTTCTATAATTATAATAAAAATTAAAGAACAATTTCATGTAAAAATTACGTTACCTTTATTATCATGTATATTATAATATATCAAGTACTTAATTATCCTTTCTTAATAACTTTCTTAATAATTTTCATTCAATGATTTACTAAAGTATAATCGTGAAAACTACAAATCGATCAAATTAATTTACATCTTTTGACTCCATTAATATATTTCATAATCTCGAATAATCAATATTTATAATTCAAATCGGATATTTAAAGAAAATGATGTAAAAAAAAAAAATTACGTATTAGTAAGTTTCATTAATAAAAATGATCGATATTAAATCATTTTTATCAATGTAAATCGATATTAAATTATAAAAGATATTATAGGATTGATCGAGATGTTCTTGAAAATTAAAAGCTACAAGTCAAGAGCAAATTATTAAAAAGAAAATAAAGTGAATAACATACATAAAAATATACATACACATTATGTCTGAAATTACATTGCATTATAGTTTTTAATTTAATTTAAATATTCACGTCAGAATGAGTTTGAAATAGTACGTAATTAAATAGATTAAAAGAATATTTCGTTTGTTTAAGTAAATTTTTTTGATGTTTTATAACACTCTGTCGATGGACAGGATTCATTGAAAATAATATTTTATTTTTATCGAGCGAATTTTTTTTTACAAAAAAAAAACATAATTTGTTAGTTAAAATAACGTATGTTAGAATATCTGATAATAATAAAATAAATAAATGCAGATGTTTAAAATTATACAGATTATGCAGCAGCTGTCTCGATTGTATGATTTGTGCGAATTTTGAATTTGTTTCGATAGTAATTTGAAATATCTTTCTTCTTGCTAAAAGTTATTTTGCATCACTATGAGTCGTGAAAAAAATAACGATTAATGATAAAATCGTAGTCGTTTTAGAATAAATAAATAAATATGCTCAAAGCATGAAGCCATAAAAACTTAAAATCCGAGTAATTCTTTCATGATCTTAAAAATAGTGCCGTTATTGATTTCTGGCCATTTCATTCGCATTATTTAAACGAATGAGCTTCCGGTCGAAATTCAATATGCTCTGGCAGCCTCGATGTTGTGAGGCGTAAATGTATTAACTGAAACGGCGGATGTGGTTGACAAGATCCCGTAAGAAGTTCGATGCTCTCAATGAGATGCATAAGCAACTATTATCAATTTAAATAAATTCAATATTAGCGATGCCAAATACAATTTTTTTCTCTCTTTTTCTTTTTTACGGATTCATTGCAAAAACGTCTCGTCGATATTTCCATTGCCGATATTGGCTAATGAGATCAGGGAGTGTATAAAAGTGAGCGATCCCGAGTAAAGTGCCACAGCATTGATTTCTAGCTCATTCAAGTTCTAGTATATTCAAGTTCTAGTATATTCAAGTTCTAGTATATTCAAGCAATCGCGATTCGGTAGATTCATTGAACTTTTCGATGGCTACGGTCCAAAGCAGAACATTTTTAAGATCTCTCAAAGGCCTTTTATCGTCGCCTTAAATACATTCTGAGGAAAAATGGTGTCTAACATTGGTATAAAGATGATCGTGTGCCCAATGACCAATCGATCTTCCGCAGATACACGTTGCGTTACATATTTAAAATTTCATACAGCCAACCCACATGAAAAAATATTTTCGGAAAGAGCAATTAGTGCATATCACGAAATTCTGATAGTGTCATATAATATTTTCGCAACTTTACATTTTCATTAAAAAATTAATGAACGCGGCGAACATGATTTCGACTTTTTCATTCTCAAAAACATGCCAGCTTTTATGTTTATATTAATGATTATTTTATTACATTGGCTGGTAATAAATAACATTTGAAGCGTTTAAAAAACAATATTCAATATACCTTTTTAATATATACATTTAAAGTGCAAGAGATAAACTTTTTAGCATTCACTATGTAAGTGAAATGGAATGAATTTATTAGTAAAAAGCGTGTTGAAAGAATTGCGAAAAGCTTTTGAAAAAGTTGTTCGCGTTGTCACGTTACTCACGCACTCAATGTCTGATATGCCGATAAAGTTCGTCATTAATACTTCGAACTGTGCAATAAAAATAATGCTGCATTTAAACTAAATACATTTTGATTTCTGTGGTAGAAATTATAGAGTAAAGCGGTTTCTTATCAGTATTAAAAGGTAACGTGAGATTTTATGTTTAAAAAAAAATCTCAGTAAGCTTTTAAATCGATTTAAACAGATGAATGTCGACATTATTAATGTGATTATTTTTTTAAACTTTAAACTACAAGTTTGGTTTCACATTGTATTTAAATAATTAATATATTTTTACAACATGACTTAATGTATAACTGAAATGAGTCTCTGCGTAACGGAACATAGTGCGTGAAGCAACGACAAAACATTCGCTAAAATAATCATCAAATGATAAATAAAAATCAATGACCAGATTTTCAATATTTCAATTAACGAACTGAAAAGTATGTATATGTTATTTAACGAGATCAAAAGTAAAAAAAAGAACTGATTAAACTGAACAAAATTGACATCCTATTGCGAGCAATCTAATTACTTGTGTGGAAATACTTTATAACTAAATAACATTGTAAAATTTTCGCTAGTATAAATTATGAAAAAAATAAAAAAATAAATAAATAAGGTAATGAAAACCGAAATTGTATAAATACTATGTAAAAGAGAATATTGAAGATGTTCCGTTTGCCTTGTAAAACTTCAAATTTCGTTTGTCATTTTATTACACTCCCACTGATTCGAAAACAAAAACTTCACCCGCACACATAAGAGTATAAACTGATTCTACCGTCTTTCATGAATATTTTATTTATTAATCACTGTCACGTTTCGTATTTAGCGAATATAACGTAAATTGTATAAATCGATTAAATTAATTTCACTTTACCTACATTAGAATAAATAAACAATATTTTTATCTGTCTTTACTGTTTATATACTTATTTGTTCAATTATTTCAAATTCTATTCAAATTCACAACTAAATACATAATATCATTAAATTTCAAAAGAATTTTATGTAGTGAATATTAATGATAACTTAATTAACAATGAAGATATCATAATTTTTTTTTCAGTTTTTTTTTCAAAAATTATTTTTATTTATTTATTATAAATTGCACGTCATATTTCATAATTAACCAAAGATAACATAAGATAGAACATAGTGATGATTTTTTCTTTGTTTGAAAGACAAATAGTGAGGCCAATCTTGTATTGCCGTAGTTTTTATTAAATTTATCACTACAATCCATTTCTTTTGATAAAAATTTCTCTGAATACTCTTTACTTAATCAATAATTGTGACTCTCTCGTAATACTTTAATTTAACGCACATGATATCCCACGTGATTTGAATTTTTATATTTAACTTAACTTTTTCGTCAATTTTCATGGCTTAATTCGTGTACGCGAAACTGTGATATTGCATATTTCGAAATTTTTAACTATGCACTTAAATACAAATATAAAGAAACCTTAATATTTATATATTAATACATTATATATTGAATATAAAATATAAACAAATCGAAGCTCTAAAACGTGACTGTTATTTTCATGAAGCGTTTAAACTTATTTGTATGCCTAATTGTAGCCTTTAACAAGTGTCAATTAATATTTTATTCATTAATTGTTTTATAATATAGAATATTTTAATCGTCACCTTCGCTTCAATCTATTTCTTTTTCTTCGCGAAAGCTTTGTAATTAGTCGCCTGAAAATTAATGATTTAACACACTTACAAATCTATGTGTACCCACGTTTTTATTTTCAATTTCAATTATTGTTAATATGTTTATTCTACTCGAATCATTATTTCCTTTATTTATTGAATAAACTCTTTGTGGGAAATATATTTTCAAAGTATTATTATTTTCTATTGATCTTTTCATTCTTATATTTTTTGTAAAATGTAAAATTTGTTTATCGTTAAATCATTGAATTTTGAAAATCTCAAAACAACTCCAAAGTGATAGAAACAAATATTATAATCTGTTTGGAGCAAGTGAATTTTAAATACATAACCATTGAATAAATAATCTTAACAAATGAAATGAAGAACTTTCATAAGCGTTCCTAATCTTATTTGTCTTTATTGTAATAAATTTGATAATATGAAAACAATTCTACATATTGTTTCGAGCAACATTAAGCAGTAGTTAAAATTTCAATATTAATGTTATCAATATGTTTCGAATGACGTTTTTTTACTTTTTGCAGTTCATCATCTTTTGTGAGTAATTATAATTATTAAACTGTTATTATGAATTTATTTGTAATATTCCTATTAAAATGAAAGGTATTTTTAAAATTAAGACCAGCAGTATCAGTTCTCGAAAGCAGTAATCGGTAACAATATTAAATTAGCAAAAGAAGGAAAATATCCATTTATCGTGTCAATCAGTAAAAAGAATATAAACGTTATGGCTGTCCAAAATCATTGGTGTACTGGAACATTAATATCGAAAAAACATGTTTTAACTGCTGCACATTGTCTTTGTAAAGATATAAAGAATTACGAAGTGATTATTGGTTCAGTTTACTTAGGAAAGGGGAAAAAATATAATATAATATTGTGGATGTCATACGAGCAATGGGCTTCATCAAAAAACATACCATTACAAATCCCAGTAAATGATATATCCGTTATATTAGTAAGTATTACGATAATAATTATAGTTCAAATACATATTGATTATCATTTCTCCAAGATATTTTAAATAAAAGGTCATTAAAATTTTAATAATCATTTTATTAGTTAGAAAATGCAATTAATGATCCACATATAATCTCAGCTACTTTTTCAAACAAAACTGATCAAGAATTATATGGATCGACTGTGTTAGTAGCAGGTTGGAGTATTTTAAACAATATTGAAGCATCATATTATATGAAAATGGCATTATTAAAAATTTTAATAAAAAATGACTGTGAAGAAATCATGAATAGGCATAAAGGAATGAGAATCATCATTTTTGATACAATGTTTTGCACCATCGCATATCCATCCATATTATTAAGTTATGTAAGAATCATAATTAATTATTCAATATAAAATGTTTAATTAGTCCTTCTTATTTAATTTTTTCATTCGGTTAATATGTGTTTAATTTACAAAAACTAACTTCAAAATTTTAATAAAAATTATAGTAATTACATGGGGATAAGAAACACAATTTCTATTTCATGGATAAATTCAATTAATTAATTGCGCTATTATCGAATGAAGCGTATATAAATATCACTGAATATATTTAATACTAGTTACAAACAAACAAACAAATAATAATAAATAATATAAAAATAGAATAATATTATTAATGATATATGAATCTAGAGAATATACTAAGTTCTTTTGCTATTATAGATCAATCTTATTATCTAAAAATATTGCAGTTCACTTAATGATATTATGTCTTTCAATTAATAATAATCTTGTTACATTATTACCTTTATTTGTATATCGAATATTATGATTAATTTATATTGTTTTATAAAATTAAAAAAAAAAAAAAAGAAGCAGTGTTTTTATGAAGTATCTATTAAAAAGCATAATTTTTTAATATTTAAATATTTGCTTATATGATTTTATTAATATTAATGAAATATTTTCTAAAATAGTCTCAATAGCTATATATTCTTTAAAAAATATTTATATAATATTTTCTTGATGCATATGAAATGTTTATTTATATATATATATATATATATATATATATATATATATAATTTTTAACGATATTTGTAAATGTAAAAGTGATGCTTAAGATATAAGTAATTATTACATTATATATACAATATAACATGATATAATTATTTTAATTTCAGGGTGACAGTGGAGGTCCACTACTCGATACAAATAATAATCTTATAGGGGTTAATAAAGGAACTTGTCCAAAAAATGAAAAATCTATAACAACTAATGTCGTAAATATTCACACAAGCATGCACTATTACAAGAATTTCATTAATGAAATTTTAAATACATTTTAAATCAGTTGCTACGTAACAAGTTTACACTATCAGGATATCGATGCACTTTTACGAAAGTTCAAATTCTTTTTTTAAATTTGCCAACTCATTCTTATACTCATGTAAATATAATTAATTGAATGTGTGCATTATTACCTTTATTCGAAAAAATATTTGTATATATAATCAATTATAATACTCAGAGAGAATATAATATTCATGAATGTTATGATGTTTTTTTTTTTATTTACGGATATCAATTGGAAAAACTTGAACAAAATAATTTTTATACGCATACGTAGCTTATGAGCCTTTATATCTTAAATCGTTAATAAATACATATTACATGCATATGTATATTATATAACTTCAATAGTTATAATAGTTGTAAATGCAATGTTTAAACAAATAGTTAGCCTGTAGTGAAAATATTTTTCAATTAGTATTTTTAATTAATAAAAACAATAGATTTATGATTTAACTTATCTAATTAATTATATAGATGCTTTAATTAAAATATAATCAGATAATTATACATCGATCTTATTATTAATTAAATGATTAAAACCAGTGTTTTTTTTTTCTTTTTTTTTAATTTTATTTGTTTATTCCGAAATATGACTAAAAAGATGTACTTGTCTATAATTATACAACAAAATATTATTTTGGATTGAGCCTGTAGTTGAAAAAGTGTGAAAACCAGTAACGAGCAAGACTTACGTTTTAATATTTCTAAATTAGTAATTAGTAATCCTCTTTTAAAGACTATGTTACTATAAAAATATATTATATCATACATGCAAAATAATATCATAACTTGGTTAAATGTAGCTATTAATAGTAAAAAAATATTATAAATTTGCGGAGTATTAAGATATTATAAAATTACTCAATGACAAAATTTACGACAGTGTAATATATTAAATAAATAATTACATAATAATAATATCTTCAATTATTATAGTAAAACAAATAATATACAATAATTTATTTTAAAATAATAGGTAGAAATAGAATTTTTACTTAAGAATTAAAATGTTTTATATGCATAAATATAATACATAATCTTATATAATGACGAAATTATACAATTACAATTACTCAAAAATAGGATTAAATGAATAATGTCATTTTTTTATAAAAAAAAAAAAAAAAAAAAAAAAAAAAACTATTTAAATATTGGTATAATCATATAATGTACATATAATAAAATTTAAACAATTTCTAAATAATAGTAAATGAACATTATACAAAAATATTTTTTTTAGAATATTAAAACAAATATTATCTTATCTAAATAAATATTCAAACAACATGTGATTATTCCTCATGATATTATCTATATTAAATGACACTGAATTTTATGTAGAATGTTATTTTTCATATGTTTTAAGCATTTTATTAATGTTATCAAGTATTTGAAAATAAATTTCTTATGAGTATGTCATAGCTCGTAAAGTTTATAATTTAATCAAAGTTTTATGTAGATTACAGTAGATTATGATCTTTGTAATATGTTATAAAATTATGAAATAAATGATCAGGCTATGAGTGCATCTCATTCTGAGTAATTCCTAATAATTTTATCAAGTTTAATTTTTCCATAGTATGTAAGCGATTCTCAAAAATAAAAGATTAAATATTATTGCTATTATTTTCATTCTTAATAAACTATATATTTTTCTTATTTATTATATTCAATATATTGAACTACAACCACTGTACCTTTTCAAATAGTTTCGTTAATTATATTATAATGCAATTAATTTATGAATATCAGCATCTAATAATCATATTATATAAGTAAAACTCTCTTTTCAAACTATTATTATTCAATATATTAAAAATTTACTTAATATACAAAGTAAACAATATTGTGTAATTAAGCATTGAATGTTAATGGATAGATTCATGTATTTTCGTGATTATTAATATTTATAATAGGCTTTGTTTATTCAAGAAATAATCGAAAGTAGTTAAGCATCGTCACTAATAATGAATAAACTGTGAAATACCGATGACAATAATAAAAGCAAATTTTGAAATTCTTATTTAATGAATTAACACGTTAATCAACATATACTAGATTATGAGAAAAAATATTTCAGTTAACACGCACGCAACAATTATATACTACACTTACAATTAAATATAATGAGAGTAATGGAGTGCACAAAAAGATAATATTCGTGACGAAAATAGAACTACTTTTAATACTGAGAATTTGTATAAAATGTTAAGCCACAAGAGATCTAAAGAAAATCTACACAAATTAATGTATAGAGAAATAGAAAAATAAATACAGAATATTATATTTTTATAGAATTATATAGGATAAAAAATTAAAAGAGGAAAACTAATATAATCCGTAGTAATTAATGCTTAATCAACAATTGATTAACTTTGTTGAATTATTTTGAATTATTTATCTTATGCTTATTAACTAAATTAATTACACACATAATACTAATTATTTTATACCATTTGTGCCTAATGATTTATATAAAAAGTTATTTGATCGCCATTAACTGCAAATAATTTTTTTTTTTTTTTATTCGTATATAAATATACAATTTCTCTATATGACTTTAATATTATAAAGAACAAATAATTGTATAAAGACGATAATGTAACAAAAATAGTATAAATTAATTTCAACTACCTAATGTTAAACAATCCAAGTATCTTAAATTGATACATTAAATTAACACAAAATTATTTAATTAAGTTATATGTATTTAAATTGAATATTTATTAATTTATATTATATTAACAAAATTTCATTTTTATAATTAACTACGAATAATTTATTAAACTTAACAATATGAGTAATATATAAATTAAGTCAAGTGAACTTACTAGAACTGATATACTATAGCTTACGGTTGATTAAATTTTTTTACATAAATAAACCAACCCTTTTAAATATAATTATAATTTTGTTCTGCCACTAATCAATAAGAATTTCTGATTCTGTGTCCATTACGGACACTTAATGTGTGCAACTGGCTGGTCGATCGCGGACAGTTAGTTCCAAATTTTGAATGTAAAGCGATGCTGCTGCATGTAGAGGTACATAGTTTATGTAGTTTATGATCAGAATTATCTAAGCGAATTTAAAATTAAGCGAAATACAATTTTTCATTTAGATATAAATGTAAAGCGTTACTCACTTTTAGCTGTATATTCTGTTATTATTTGAGTAATATATGATCTTATTACATCCATTTTCATCTTTATTCGTTTCATCTTTATAAATTTTCATATATATCTCAGAAAACAATTGATTTTACTATAATGTATTAGATAAAGTTTTTTTTTTTTTTAAAAAAAAGTTAAAAAGTAAACTTTTCAAATGTTTTAGTATAGTACACAGATAAATTTATAATTAATGAATGAATATAATAATATTTTTAAGATATCGAGCAAATATTTATACATTATTTACACTGTTCTTGTGTTATAATAAAAAAATTATTTAAAATTATCTAACCTACTTATTAAATTTTTAATAAAATTATATATGTTTAATAATATTATTAATAATTATGATTATATATATATATATATATATATATATATATATATTTTTTTTTTAATTATTTTTTTTTATTAATTATTTATAAAATATGTAAATCTTACTTCAATAACTTACATTTCTTATTCTTTATAAACGTCTTCAATAGATGTAATCAAATATTATCTGAGTATTTCTGCCTTACAAATCCATTTAGTTCTTAAATAATTAATTATTAATAACGATTATCTACTTATATGTATGTCTGTATTTTCTTCTACGTGGTAAAACATTAATAAATATGCTAAAATAATTAATTTTTAAATTCATTATAGCTTGTAATAATTATTCAGTTCGGAGTTGTGTTGGGAAGCATGTAAAACGGTAGTGATATGTTTAATATAAAAGAGAATGAAATTGGATAATCGAAGGGCACAAAAGTTCAATTTGAAAAACGTAATCTATAATAAATCTTCTTTTCCGATTATCCAATTAATCCACTACTACTATCCATCTACTTTGTTTCCCAAGTGAATTACACCTATACTTCACATCGAATTGAAAATGTTTAATCATAGAAGCATATATATTATCGATTAAGTAATATGCCCGTTAGCTAGGGATATATTTAAAGATGGGAACTAACCATTTGCTGTTGGTTACCAAATGATCGTTTCAATTTTAATTCACCAATGCCATTGTACGAAAGAAGCTATAATATACCATAAATTGAAAAATAATGAAAGCCGTTCTGCGCAGGCGTTAGATCACCGTCTCGGTTACTTCGAGCGGTTAACCAATAACTGCTCCATAACTTTTAGTACTACAGTATTCCAAACCCCGTAGCTCAGTTCATAATTGTTTGTTGTTGTTGTTGTTGTTGTTGTTGTTATTGTTGTTATTGTTGTTATTGTTGCATGCGGTGTGAATGTATTTATTATTATTGTAATATTATTAATTATATCGTAATTAACAAGTCATGTCAAAAGCAAAACTTAATGCCGAATGGCGAAAACGCGTAAAATCAGAATACATGAGATTAAGGCAAGTTAAGCGATACAAACGAGCGGATGAAGTAAAAGTTGCCTGGAATAAAAATCGCAAGCTTATGACAGGTTAGTTGTACCTACAATCTACATTATTATCCCACAGAAATTTCGCTTTAACAACTTATTGTATTTACCATTAATTTTTTTACTATTATAGGGACAAACATCTTAGGCCTTTTTTGTTACAATAGGTAATCATACAAAATGAAATAAAAATTTTTTTATTTAATACATTTTTTTAAAATCATTGTACCATCTGACTATTATTATGAAAAGAAATTTATTCTGTTTACATTGAAAGTCATTAATTTGAAAAATAATATGTAAAATTTTTTATAAAATTACTTCAGAACAGTGAAACAGCATTACAAATACTTTGATTTTATATAATTATTGCTTTCCTTGTACTTTGATTAAATTCAAACTTATATTTCACTTTTCTTTTCACGACTATTGTATTAAAATAAACCTGTTGCTTAATAATAAATTTTAGATAAAAATTATTATTCTATATACTTAATTCATGACTTATATTAATATTGTATTATATAGATGTAATATGAAATTTATGTAAATAAATTATCGCTTTAATAGAATTATTAGAAACTGAACACAAGCGATGGACAGATTGCAAGGTAATGTGGTTGGCGATGCAAGATATTCCACCACATGTTTCGTGTATGAAAAAGGCTGAAATAACGAATTCCGATGGCGATGTTCAGTCATGCCCTGTAAAAATTATTAATGCTGTTTCGCCTATTCCAACGATGTATACCTGGGCGCCCATTCAACAAAATTTTATGGTGGAAGACGAAACTGTCCTACACAATATTCCATATATGGGAGATGAAATTCTTGACCAGGATGGTACATTTATCGAAGAATTAATAAAGAACTACGATGGGAAAGTGCATGGTGATCGTGAGTCAGGATTTATGGATGATTCAATTTTTGTTGACTTAGTTAATGCTTTAGTCGCTTACGATAAAGATGATAAAGAAAAGGAAATTCCAAAAAAAGGAAAAGATAAAGATAAAGAGAAGGATAAGGATAAGGATAAAGACAAAGATAAGGAAAAAGATAAGGATAAGGACAAGGACAAGGACAAGGACAAGGACAAGGACAAGGACAAGGACAAGGATAAGGATAAGGATAAGGAGAGAGATAAAGATAAAGAAAAAAGTGAAGAAAAAGACAAAAAAGTTGATGGAATAAAGACTGAGATCATTGACGAGGATCAAGAAGAAGATGCAACACCTTTTCCATCGATGCAGATTTTTAGTGTAAATTTAATTTTTATTTTATATATTCGTTAAAACAATTCTTATCGATAAGTATTCACTGGTTAAATAACAAAAACATATAATTAATAGAATAGACAGTGATATATAAGCTATAAATTTCCTTATCTACAGGCTATATCGAGTATGTTTCCTGATAAAGGTAGGCCGGAAGAATTGAAGGAAAAATACATTGAACTTACAGAAAGATCAGATCCCAATGCTTTACCACCCGAGTGCACACCCAATATCGATGGTATAAATGCTAAAAGCGTACCAAGAGAACAAACTATGCATTCTTTTCATACATTGTTTTGCCGAAGATGTTTCAAATATGATTGTTTTCTGCATCGTAAGTAAAGTATTTGAAATTCATAAATATGTATTGACATTAAAATAATTAATTATAAGTATTTACGTATAATAATTTAATTTTATTGAATTAGAATAATTGAATTAGAAACTTTATAAATATTTAGTATTAAGAAAAATTATCCATTATTAGTTTAAAACATTATACTTTATTTTAAACTTAGGTCTCCAAGTTTGTCATCCTGGACCTAACCTCCAGAAGCGTAAAGGACCAGATCTTAAGTCATTTGCCGAACCATGTGGTACAGAGTGTTACATGCATTTGGTAAGTTAATTAAAGATTTATAATATTCATGAACGCTTAATTGATATAATTCAATAAATATCAAATAAACCTGGAGACACGTTTATTGTTATTTTGTGATTTAATGGAACACTAAACGGCCTTTAACAGGAAGGTATAAAAGAAAAATTAGCAGCACAGGCAGCGGATATAAAAGAAGAAGAAGGAAATGAAGAAAAGCGAGGGGGACCAAGAAAAGTACGTAAACAAGCAAGCGTTGACTCTGGCAATGAAGCAAGTAGCGAAGACAGCAACGATAGTAATAAGTATAGTCAAGGGGGTAGTTGTCAAGGTAAAATACCTTTATTTTTATAATAGAAAAGCTATTATTAGTAATTTGTAAATGGATTATAAATTGTAATTAATATCTTGCAGCACAAATAACGTTCGAATAGATTGTTAAATTGGCTTTTCTTTCGACTAAAATATTATGTAAAATTATAATGGTAATACAACAATACCAATTAAGATAATGTAATTTCTTTTATAGACTTTAAACAGAACGTAAATAAAAACTCGAAACCAGATGAAGATACGCTTCAAGATCAGATTCAGCCGGATCACCAAACGCCTTTTTCATTGCTCAGTTCAATAGAGAAGCGTATAAAGACAGAAAGTGAGCTTTCGTGGACGGGTTCGGAGCAGAGTCTATTTCGTGCCCTACACAAAGCCTTTCCCGGTAATCCATGCGCTCTCGCTCAGATAATACTCACCAAGACTTGTAAAGAGGTGTATGAATTCGCGCAGAAGGAAGCCAGTGACATACCAGCAGTCGAAAGCCTTAAAGATTTCACGCCCCCGAGAAAAAAGAAAAAGAAGCATAGGTTATGGTCCATGCATTGTCGTAAAATCCAGCTCAAGAAGGATTCCGGTGTGTATTTTGAGTTTACCGAAATAGAATGTCAGCCTATATTATTAGTATATTGAATTATTAGTAGTAATGAATTGAATGTAAAAATGCTGAAATAAAAAGCAGCTATTATTTAAGTATTTAAGTATAAAGTGCTGTCATACGTCAATACTTGTTAATGATATATCCAACGTTACACATCCACAATAAAAATAATTGTTAATAATATTGTTTGAATACAATTAAAATAATTCACAGCTAAATATACATATATATATATATATATATATATATATATATTTCTTTTATAGGCGCGAATCACGTGCACAACTTTGCGCCTTGTGACCATCCGAGTAGGCCTTGCGACAATTCATGCCCGTGTATTCAGGCGCAGAATTTTTGTGAAAAGTTTTGCCAATGTAGCAGTGAATGCCAGAATCGCTTTCCCGGTTGCCGGTGCAAGGCCCAATGCAACACGAAGCAGTGCCCGTGTTATCTTGCTGTGCGCGAATGCGATCCCGATCTCTGTCAGACTTGCGGTGCCGATCAATTTCACATACAGAAGATCTCTTGCAAAAACGTCAGCGTTCAACGTGGCCTCCGTGAGTCATTTATTATTTATTAGCATTTTATGTGAAAGGAATTATTTTGTATTCATTTGAAAATGATCGCTTAATATTGACATTAAAATAATGAGCGACTATACGGATGCTTAAGTAACACTATGGAAAAAGAAACTTGTCGATATATTAAGCTTTTTTATAAACAAGTTTTTTTATGAAAAATTACTTTATAAGTAAATATTGTTATAATTACACGTGTCCTAATTGATAATGACATGATTATTATTAAATTGAAAACAAGGTATAACTTAATTTTTAATATTATGATAATGAGAATTTCATTGAACTATTGATAAAGAATTGATGTTGTTGGTTTGATTAGATAAGCATTTACTTATGGCACCGTCGGATGTTGCTGGTTGGGGCATTTTCTTGAAAGAATCTGCTGGAAAAAACGAATTTATATCAGAATACTGTGGTGAAATAATCAGTCAAGATGAAGCTGACAGGCGAGGAAAAGTGTACGATAAATACATGTGTAGCTTTCTATTTAATCTTAATAACGGTACATATTATTATTATTATTATTATTATTATTAATAGATTTTCCAATTTATGCGTTTCGTTGAATTTACATTGATGGATATACGCTGCTTTTTTACAGACTTTGTAGTTGATGCTACGAGAAAAGGGAATAAAATTAGATTTGCTAATCATTCTATAAATCCAAATTGTTATGCCAAAGTTATGATGGTAAATGGAGACCATAGAATCGGCATTTTCGCTAAACGAGCAATACAGCCAGGAGAGGAACTATTTTTTGATTATCGGTAAAGAATGATATGATTTATTATGTACATAATAATTTTGGTACTCAAATTAATATTTGTATTATTATTTTAGATATGGACCGACGGAGCAATTGAAATTTGTTGGTATTGAACGAGAAATGGAATTTTTGTAAAATATTTTATTTTTAAATTAAATTTTTATATTAAAATTTAACGATCCAAAAATATTTTTACTCTAGTTATATTTAATTCATACTAATACGTTACATAAATGATTATGTTGAAACAAACAATTTGCAATATTGTAATCTATAAATAAAAATCTTAAACCAATTGAATCGCATTTATTATAAATTTTGAAATCAAACCCTTAATTGTACAATTTATAAAAGCGAAAGCGACATTTTTATAACATATCTTTCATTTGAAATATGATAAACATAATTTTATTCGAGTAAATCGAACCTCGTTTCCAATCATAAATGTAATCGCATATGATAATTAATTGAATTCATATAGCATTATATATAAATATGCAAATAATTTTGGAAAAATAATGATAAAATTATGAAACAATAAAGTTCAATTAATTTCAATTTCTTCGAACTAGAAAGGATTTAAAAAATTAATATGTTCATACTGATAAATCTATCTACCATGCAATTTCAATATTAAAGTCATCGGTTTATTTTACATAAACCGATTAATAATATTTAAGTAAAATTTTTAAAAAATTTTTAGAACATGATATGTCAGCGTTGAATAAATATTAAATAAATAAAGAAATTATATTAATGAGAATATTATTACATACACTCTCAGTAGCATTTATCCGTTTATATGGCGGCATTATTACTTACTAATTAACAAATCTTTTATTGCTTTATATTTTTGAATTTTTTAGCTTAACTTAACAAACATCTACGTTGCATTCATTTTAATTACTTTCCACTTCATCGCTTCTTCATAAGCTAAATTACGACGATTTTATTTTCACTAACTCGTTCTGTTCACATGTAATTAAAATTCTAACATAATAGTAGACTTTCGTATGTTGTCGGGGGAAATTATTTTAATTTTTTTTCCCCCCTTTCTTTCAAACCACATTAACGTTCTTCAACACGTTATTTCTCATAAAATAATCAAGCGATTTTAAATCGACATTTGTTTCTAAAAATAAATAAATTTCTTTATATTTCATTACATTGTAATAATTTTTTAATCGATTTCAATCGATTAAAATATACATTAAATGAATTACTTGCCTAGGATTATGTCTTTTCGGAATTCATATTTCTAGCGATGATATTGATGATTGAGATTGGAGGAAAACAAATATAGGAAGCAAAACGTTCTGAATTCATTCAATATTATGAAATATCGATTGAGTAGATTTGCAGCAAATATAATACATTGACAGATCATCTTACTTTTTAGATAATATGCCTAATAATGTGAAAATAAATCGAAAATTTAATTCCATTCCTTAGACCGCTCAATTTATCTTTTCAAACAGAATCAACAAACGATTGTCATGAAATTATTGGTATCCTAATTGAAGATACACAAAGTGTAAATATACAAAATTTTAATTCCACATTTCACTAGGCATTACAAATAACTAAATACATTTGTGTCTCAGCATCACAGTTTACTAAAAATCTTACTCCATTATCGAATAATGTAATTTTTCATAATTACTATATCATTATAATGTTTTTAAAGTTCTTCCTTATTAAGGAAGTATTTTTACTGTAAATTTTTACTGGGTTTAAATACTAATTATGCAATGTATTCCAATTCCATAAGTAATTATGCATGCGTGTATTAGTTTTCACTACTTAACATAGATTTCACTCTCGACAAAGTCAAATAAGCCAATGAACACGAGGATGGAGCAACATAGGTTCACGGCGAAGTGCGAAGGCGTGCTGGTAGAAAATTAATTAGTTAATTAATTCTAAGGCAACTGATGAAGCGAGAGAAGGCGGATGTTCATTCAACATAGTGTAAAGGCGAAGTAAGAGCTACTAAGTAGTAGACCATTATCGCGCATTACAATTAAGTTGAGAAAGATGGAAGGTAAAGAGAATTGCAATAAGGAAAAACAAAAAGATTTAACGCACTTAACGTCGGCTGCCAAATGATTGAACCGTACTCGTAATTAGGCTTTAGTTCCTTGCATTTTTATTACAATTTCGGCTTAATGTACTACAAGAGAGAATAAGATATTGTTTTATTAAAACATTTTATGATCAATATGTTTTTTTTTTTTTGCATTAATATGCAACAAAAATTCTCTTAAAGGTAAAGAGTGTTAAATTAAAAAAAATGATAAACTAATTCCACGAATTATTATTTAATTACAAATTGTATAATTGTATAATTATAAATTATTTAATTATAAATCAATTAAATAAATATATAATAAATTATTATAATATTATTTTATAAAGCTGCAAACACACAAAGTTTAATCATTACATTATTTTTTTTAAAACAGTATGTTTCATAACTTAGTTTATAATAAATCCATGAGTAAATAAAAATGTTCAGTTTACTATATTTTTTTTAATAAGTCATTTAAATTGATACAAATCTTTCATTTTACTATTGTATAATTAAAGTAAAGTTTTAAAAACGCCCTAAATATATCTATAAACTCAAATATGAATTTTCAATGTTTTAAAAGTAAATAATAATATCTTTAGAAGGTTAAAAGCAAAATTCATAATTTTAGCATTCGAAAAGCATTATTAAAGAATTTGAATACTTATAAATATTTTTTGTCAATATTTATTCAAGAAATTGAAAGATAATACCTGTGGCACTTTTAATTTAGTTGAATTGTTAAGTAACAATTATAACATTTATAAACATAATGCATCAAGACGATTTTTTTTATTTATATTAAATTCCATTATTCATTATTTTACTATTATGTTGGAGTCATTAACAAAGTGTATATGTTTGTCATCATTTTAATGATGATGATGATTTATAATTTTAATGGTAAACTAAATCAATATTTATATTTCAAGTTAGTTTTGTATTAATATATTAGCCAGCTTTTTGATTAATATAATCGATTTAATACGAAATTAGCTTTTATTAATATTTATCATCAATAATAATTTAATATTAAATAATAATAATATTATAATAATATAATAATAAAATAATAATAAATTAATAATAATTTATTTAATAATATTTATGATCGAGATGTCGATGAAAAGAAATAATAGAGTAAAATAATCAAAATTTAATCTGTCGGTATCTTCAGCACTTATTATCTTCATTAATATATGTTATTTATCCAGTAGCATATATATATATATATATGTATATATATATATATATATATATATATATATAATTTTTTTTTAGTTAATTAAATAGAAATGTTAATGCATTATAAATTAAATAAATATCACATAATAATTCCATTTTGTTAAATATCCATTTTTGATAATTCACTACCTTTTATATATTCCAAGCAAAAATTTAAATAACACATATTGTATGAATGCTTTTTTTAAAAAAGTAAAAGCTTGGCAGCTTACGACGATAAGACAAAGTGCGAGTCTCTTTTTTATTGTCTTTTATAATTACTTTTTGGAAAGACGAAAGTCAATCATCTAAGTTTTAAAAATACTTATATGTAAATAATTAGATCTTTGCTTAATACTTTCGTTATATTTTTTTAACCATTCATTTTTATCATACATTAGAAAATCATTTATCACTACCATTTGATATATATATATATATATATATATATATATATATATATATAAT